TGTGTGTGTGTGTGTGTGTGTGTGTGTGTGTGTGTGTGTGTGTGTGTGTGTGTATGGCTCTAACCCTTCCCATATCCTTCTATGTGAAGTGAAAGAAGGAACTATAGTCTGTGTTTGCCTTTGTTTTCCAGGTTTATGGGAAATGGTCTTGTGACAGACCAAGACAACCAGCGCTGGGAAAAACAGAGGCGGATTATTGAACCAGCATTTAGCAAACAGTAAGAGAAACCCCAAGATGTACTGGACATTTTCATCTATTCTATCAGGGTGCTCTTACACCACCCAACTAAATCACACATTGTATGAATGCCCCCTTTTTTTATCATCAGTGCAGTCTCGGGTCACTTGATACATTGCATTCTTAGCTTCTTTATTTGGCAGCTGTTCCTGGGTATTTGCAAAGATGTCAGATGCCTGTTCTTTCCATCCTCGTAACACCCATAACCAGAAAATGATGAGAAGATACAAAGTCACCAGTACCCCAAATAAATGTTTTTCATGTATTCATTGTATAGACAGCATCACTGTTACGCTTTGAAGTAGAGACCTTGTGAGGCCCCCTTAAAGTGACACTAAACTCATAAAAATGCATTCAAGTACCTTGAGTATTAACAAAAATGTATCTTATTTGTGTATCACTCGGCTGTAGATCCTCCAATCATCTCTGAATTGGTGCTGACACTGTCCTTCCTTCTGGAGGGTGGTTACTTTTGTTCCCCATGGTCCCTGTGTGTGTTGTAAAGTAGTCACCGCTCCAAGCTCGCTCCTGTGATGGACTACAATCTTATGTTTAGTTTACTCATTTGTATTCAGATTGTAGTCCATCCCGGGAGCGAGCTTGGAGCGGTGACTACTTTACAACACACACAGGGACCGTGAGGAACATAAGTAGCCCCCCTCCAGAAGGAAGGACAGTGTCAGCACCAATTCAGAGATGATTGGAGGATCTACAGCCGAGTGATACACAAATAAGAGACATTTTTGCTGATAATTAAGGTACTTGAATGAATTTTTAAGATTTAACTCCTGAGTTTAGTGTAACTTTAAAAACAAGTCAACTTCCATATTTCTATCCTGACAGGTTCCGCTTATTATAAAATACAATTAGAAGCTGCACTCCTCACAGTACTTGACCTTTGAATATTTAGTAGGTGCACAAAGTGATTGCTATAGATGGTTTCATGCCGAAAACCATATAAGAAGATACAAAGTCACCCAAACACTAAATAAATGCATTTGGTGTTTTTATTGTGAAGACAGCATCACAAAAAAGAAATAGGAACCTGTGTGCACTTCTGATTCCTAGACAACCAGTGCGACTCCCAATCATGTCACTACCATGACAGCGAATAATGGTGATCACATGATCACTCGATACAAACAAACTGGCAGCTGTTCTTAAAAAGTAGCGATGGGCTCGGGCGTGTTCGCAGCTCCACGTGCCGAGCCCGCCAGGAAGCTGACAGAGCCAATCACAGGCACTGAGACATATCCCGATCTCTGCAGATGCGGACCGGGAAAATGTCTCAGTACCTGTGATTGGCGCTGTCAGCTTCCTGGCGGGCTCGGCACATGGAGCTGCGAACACGCCCGAGCCCATCACTATGAAAAAGCAATGTAAAACTATATGGGTAGGCAAACTAGTCATAGTCAAGTTAAAGGAAGCATACTGATACTGCTAAATGTAGTCTTGGTATCTAGGCTTCAGTGACCTCTGGTCATGAAAGGGTTAAAGGCGTAGGTTCCCAGGCTGTCATCCACATCCTTCCTTCACTACCTAGGGAGGCATTGACGTATAACAAGGATGTATCCGGTGAACTGTACTGTAGTGTCCTAGTTACCATTTTGTTTATGTCATTAGTTACTGTTGGTTGAAGATCATCGGGTTCCTTTTTTTCGTATTATTCCAGCTATCTGATGGGACTAATGGGGCCCTTCAATGAGAAAGCCGAGGAGCTGGTGGACAGACTTGCAGAGAAAGCCGATGGAAAGTGTCAGGTTGAAATGCATGATGTACTGAGCAGAGTCACACTGGATGGCCTTGCCAAGGTACCCGTATATCCAAGGCATTCATATCGTCTACTAACAGTCTCTTCCTCATAAGCTGGATATTAGAAATCACTACAAATATGTGGCTGTCATATAAGGAATGATAATAACATTTGACATAAAACCAAAAGGATTATCCAGGTCATTGGTATTTGTAAAATGAGAGGTCTGCAGTGGCAGCTTATATGTTTCTTTCAGTGTATCTAAACCCCCAAAGCAGCTTACCACTCATTGCATGTGCTGATCTGGTGGCTGTGCTAAGGTGCCCATACACTGCACGATTCTCGTGCGAGAATCGCGGGGGAAAACCACGTACGTACGAGAATCGTGCAGTGTGAATGAAGGCGTGCGACCGTTTCTACTGTACGATTGCACGTCTTTTGTCTAAGGAGCACACTAGAAAACCAGCTGAAAATCTTACGATTTTCAATTGGTTTGAATGATGCTCGGGAGACAAATGCCGAACGGGCCGGTGTGCGCACGCGCACACTGCCCGTTCAGCATTGCGGTCATCGGAAGCCCTCTTGCGATGGTTGTAGAGTGTATGGGCACCTATAGTCTCTTTTTTAGGCTTTCTTCCCTTTTATTTTGACCTTGTGATCCAATCCTGCCAATAACGTACTTCCTGTCCTAGGATGACAATGTTACTGTATCAATAAAGGAGAAACGCTGATTCTGCCTACTATGTTACACTGCTACAGCCCGGTCTTTTGCTAGTTAATTGACTGCGACAACTGGATCTAGATGTATCTCTTACGTTTTATACCTATACGCCCTTGTATACCTATCTTGCATATGCTATGTTTATGCTGTAAAATTTCGATTTATAAATAAAGAATTTAAAATAAATAAATAAATAAAGGAGCAGCGTCGTCACCCTACGCTGCTTTGCTGGTTTGGACGATAAACACCTCCTGAAGTGACTCAATTCCCTCATTCTGGCCTCAGAGCGTGGATGGAGGAATCACCCTCCGCCGGCTAATGTATTCTGACAGCCACAGCAACAGCAGCTGTCAGAATGCCTGAACAGTGACTGCATTTGATTGGTTGCAGACACTGCTTGGCTGAAAAATTCCACCCGGCTCCATCACTTTTTCAGTTGGAGTTTGTGGAGCCCGGTGGTGTCAGCAGAGCCACCCACGGGCATAACCATTATGTACTCTATTTAAAAGAAGAAAAAAAAACCCTTTGGTTGGCGTTAGCCTTTACCCATGCGTGCTGCTAAGGGGAACCAGAGGATTGGCTGGACTGACTGGTATGAAGTGTTTCATCACAGAAATAAAATCCATGTGTATATTTCAGGCAGCTTTTGGATTGGAGCTGAAATCCCTGGAGGATGAATACAGCCCATTTCCACAGGCCATCTCTCTGGCTATGAAGGGTCTGACGGAATCCATGAATCCACTTGCAAAGGTTTGTAAGATAAGGAAATTAAATGAATAATATAAAATTGTTTCATATTTACACTTTACTAAGTTGTATCTGAAGCTAAAACTTTGTTTTCTATATTTGTGAATGGAGCCGGTAAGATTTAGAATCTTTGCATTTTTTTTTTTTTGCTGTCTTTTCTTTCAGTTCCTGTTCATCATTTAGGCTCCATTCACATATAGCGCTTGCGTTTCCCGTGCGGGATGCAGATGCTATATGTGAAACAAATGCATGCATTCCGCTCGTTTGCGGCCATTATATAGCCGCGAACATGCAGAATCTGCCGGATTATTGTGCTTAACACTATTTTGGGGACAGCGCGGTTTCATTCGGAACGGTCTCCGAATAGTCTGAACAAAGCACATTAAAGTGCATTGTTTTTTCTGTTTGGAGCCGCTCCGCATGTATCTGTATAGCCGAATACAGGCTAGACAGCAGCTCCAGTGTGAATGGAGCCTTAAAAGAGAACTATGGTGTAACCTTTTTTCCCCATAGTTCTCTTTAGGGTCATGGGAGGACATATACTAACCTCCTCCTGTGGCCCAAAGCTCAGTATATAGCGAGCTATACAACGAGAGCGCCACAGCCGGGACGGATCCCAAAATACTGTCGAGATCCACCAGGCTGGCTGATAGACAGCTGGCTCTACCTATCTAGAGGCAGAGCCAGCTGTGCCCGCCCCTACCCCGTCCGTTCCTTCGGTCAGCACTGGAGGATCAGAGAGGGGAGGGGGGTAAACCCTACGGGGAGTGATGACTGACGGTCACCGCTCTCTGCAGGGGCATGATCGGGAAGTGAGCGAGCGCCGGTATGTGTTCGCTCTCTTCCTGATCTATTGAGCCGACCTGTGACAGTTTCATTGTCACACATCGGTGCTAACTATGAGGATGAGTGAAAATCACACACCTCATAGTTCTCCTTTTAATAATGATTTCTTCTTTAAGTAAACATCTTTTAGAATATTGCCGATAATTAAAAGCATTTTTTTTCACTTTTAAAGTATATTCCATGGAAGCAGACACTTATTGGGGAGATCCAAAGAAGTGTCAGGCTGCTGCGTGACACGGGCAAAGAATGTATTAAAAATAGACAGAAGGCACAAAACCAGCAGGAGGAGACTCCGGAGGATGTCCTGGCACAAATGCTTCGCACAGCAGGTACAGGCGCGGGAAACTCTGGGCCCTGCCTCCATCTGTGTCTGCAGGTTACCTTATCAAATTTATTTGTAAGGAATGTATTTTTGGAGGGTGGTTCGACTTTTGGCTCAGATCATATGGTCTGTACTGGCTAGCGTGACCCTTTAGGGCTGTAGTACAAATTCAATGTGGATTATTCATTGCTCATATGACCCTATCAAAAGCAAAAGTTTGTATCTGATCTAAAAGAAATAATGATGTGGTTTGGTTGGTTCTATTGATTGCTATAAAATGTCCAAAAGACAAAGAGTTCCCGAGTCCTCAACCACAAAAAAACACGATTAAAGCCCGTACCTCAGCCAAAGCCTTACTTTTTAGATAGATTAGGGAAGGGCTAGAATGTGTGGTGAGTTTGCTTTGTTGTCTGTGTCTGCGTTGGGGTCATCTCCCTTCTCTTGTCTGATTGGTATCAGGCAGAACAGGGAGTGGTGGACAAACTCCCCATCGGGGACACACAGAACAATACATATCTCTTTAGTAGAGTGTGGAAGGGTTAGAACCCGTGTAATGTTTTTTATTGCGGTCTGCATCCACATTGCTGACATTTCTGCTTATGTCCTGTGATTAGTATCAGGCAGAAACAGAAGTCATGGAATATTTCACCAGAGGGGGGCAATTGAAAACCTTACAGAGGTTCTAATGCTTCCCCATTGTGTTCAAAACTAAAAAAAACACAAAACATTTGGCTGGAGTTGGGCTTTAAAGGAAATAAATGGTGTTTTTACTTTAATTACTTATTAAGCTTAGGACTAAAAAAAAGAACTTAGTCAGATAAACGTGAAATATTGCATATGAATGAAGCGTAATTATCTACTATTATGTGAATAGCCTGTGTAACCTCTATGGTAACTAGACCTGGATAGAGGAGATTAAGTTACATCAGGGGTAGGCACTTCAGCTGTTGTGGAATTACAAGTCCCATGAGGGACAGTTACAGGCATGACTCCCAGAGGCAGAGACATGGTGGGATTTGTAGTTTTAGCACGGCTCGAGTGCCAAGGTTGCCTACCCCTGAGTTACATCTATACAGCTGAATGAAGAAGAGAGATCCTTCCTTCTGTCACAGATACAGATTACATTACTAAACTATTATTAATGATTAATTATTAACTGATTATTAAATTAATGAAATTAGATTGTAAGCTCTCACGAGCAGGGACCTCCTACCTCCTGTACTGAAATTGTACTGCCCCCCTCAGTTTTGTAAAGTGCTGCGCAAACTGTTGGCACTATATAAACCCTGTATAATAACAATTATAGGCAGAGCCGGTCACTGAGTAGAAAGGCATTGTTGGGCTTCCATCATTGTCTGCAACCAAAATGTCCACGGAAGCACTCGTTATTAAATACAGAGGTCTGAATTGCAAACATTTGCTAGTATATGTCTAACTCTATGTCCATATGTCTGTCTAATCAATGAGAGAAATTGTGGAAACACCTATGAAGTCACCACCTTACTCCACAATGACATCTAATGTTTGTCACAATCCTTTCATTGCAGATTTGGAAAATGACGGGGGTCTGGAGAGTTTAGTGGATAATGTTGTCACCCTGATCATTGGAGGTAGACATTTCCTTTTATGTGTGGTTGTGGTGTAGAGGGATGTATAAGTCTGGTGTACATAGGAAAACATACCTCTGTTATAGGGCAAGAAACAACCGCCAATCTGCTCTCCTTTGCGGTAATGGAACTAGCCCAAAAGCCCGAGATCCTGAAAAAGTGAGTATTGGAGCTGAGGTGGCTCCTCTTCTATTGATTTTATTTGTAATCTGGTTGAAGTGAGACTTGCACAAATAACAACATATCTGAAGCCTAAAAATAAACAATAAAGGTGATCAGCGCCAGTAAGTGTAATGTGGAAATAAGAGCTACCAAGCAGTAAGGATATAACTAAATATCTGGAAAATGTGAAAAACAATATTGTGCCGAGCTGATAATCATACATATCTAATAAATTGAAGTTCAACATATCTGAAGCATTAAACGACTGAACTGTCTTACCTGCCAAAAGATTCACAACTCCATTCAGTGAGCCTCATCATCCAGGTAAGTGGGTAGCCAAGTTCTTGACTTCCACTGTATGAAATGCAGCCATTTCTGGGCTCGTTCTGTGTTTTCTACTGCTTTCAGTGGATAGATAATCAGAGTCAATGGGGCTCTTTGATATCTGGCCACAGTGCTCCATTAAAGCCAACCTGAATTTTCAGCCTGCTGATATACGGGCCTGAGCTAGTTACAACCCCCCCAACTGCCTAAGAGCTTGTTTCCACCAGTCCGCGCATCTACCGCAATGTCCCGTGCCCGGAACGCAAGGGATTGCATACATAAAGTCTCATCGCGTTCTAGGGCAGGACGGGGCGTGGCAGTGCCATTCAAGTCAATAGCACCATGCGCCCCCCTGCCCGCAGTACGATCAGCCGCACAGGAATGTCTGGTAATAAAATGCCCTGCGTTCCAGTGCGGTGCGATCGCATAAAATCATGCATGCATGGGGGAAACAAGTCCTAAAACTGGCCATAAACCTATAGATTATCTGCAGACTTTCTATGGTCAGATGGAAAAAGTGCAACAGATTCCTCCATCTACGCTAAACTGTGTGTATGGAGGAATCTCCCGCTGGGCCAAGCTTCAGTATCTTGCTGGTCTGCCCCGCTGGCTCTCAAAATACTTGAGCAATCTGATTGGATGCAGGCACTGTTCATGTATTTTGAGAGCCAGCGGGGCCGACTAGCAAGATACTGAAGCTTGGCCCAGTGGGAGATTCCTCCATACACACAGTTTAGCGTAGATGGAGGAATCTGTTGCACTTTTTCCATCTGACCATAGAAAGTCTGCAGATTATCTATAGGTGTATGGCCAGCTTTACAGTCAGCTGATATGGTCGGCATATGACCACTGTTATCTCCTCCATGTTTCTGCCTGTTAGTTACAGTTCAGATCTGTGTGCGACAGAGGCACTGATTAGATTCTCATACAGCAGCAAAAGCAGATTAGTGCCTCTGCCTTAAGGTGGCCATACACTTTACAACCATTGCAAGACCTTAGTCTTGCGATGGTTTAAAGTAATTTAAAAAAAACGTACGATCTGCCCATCTTGGACAGGCAGATCGTACTTGCGATCATCTCAAGCCCGCCCCCCTGAGGGGCGGGCTTTCCGATGACTGCAATGCTGAACGGGCAGTGTGTGCGTGCGCACACCGGCCCGTTCGGCATTTGTCTCCCGAGCACCGTTCAAACCAGCCGAAAATCGTAAGATGGTTTTCTAGCATGCTCCTTAGACAAAAGACGTGCGACCGTAGAAACGGCCGCACGTCTTCATTCACACTGCACGATTCTCGTACGATCGTGGGATTTCCCGCAATTCTCGTACAAGAATCGTGCAGTGTATGGGCACCTTTACGAAGAGCCACAGCGAACAGGCGAAGTGGAGCAGAAGACATCGGCCATTGGAAATCAGACTTTGCAACAGCATTTCAGCAATGCAAGGCAGACCCCAGATTGGACTTTAGCTCTGCTTTACCTGCATAAAATGAATGTAAAAATAAAACTTTAGATTTGCATTATATCTGTTTTTTTATTCTTTAAGACAAATCTCATGTTCAACAGTCTCTACAACGATACAAAAATCGCTGTTCTAGGCTCTTAGCTAGCTAGACTTGACCAGATTATTTCTAAGTCTCCGCGTTTGGGTGGACTACCTGATGGAACAGTAGACTCTTGTACTAATTGGAAAATGGGACATGCTGTACTATCATGCTGGATCTATCAATGATTTTCTCTTGAGGGGGTTCCAAAGGAGGAATGAGGGAAGCAGGGATGGCTTACAGGGATAATCCTAATACAGGCAGTCCAGCAGCCCTAAACAGATGGTATACATTGTTTTTTTGCGATGTTGCAAGACATAATATATGTAATA